ATACATATATATACGCTCTCTCTATATATATATATATATATATATGTCCCTATATATATATATATATATCTCTCTCTCTCTCTCTCTCTCTCTCTATATATATATATATATATATATATATATATATATATATGCACATTTCATTAGTTTTTTATACAATTTCTCATGCGATCTAATAACTTTTCTTTTCGGATGATAAATTATATAAAAAAACGTACGAATGTTCTTTTTATCCGAGCGCTTTCGGCTATACATTTACCCATTTTCAAGGTTTAACTATTTTAACTGTTAAATAAGAAATAGTTTGTTGCATGTATGTTTTATGAAATGTTTTCATTTATCAAAACACGGTCAAGATATTGAAAATGGCTAAATGTATAGCCGAAACCTCTCGGATAAAATTCGGATGCGCATCGAAACAAGAATGCATATTTGTAGTGAGTAAGTTGTTTTGTCCGTATGTAAAAGTAATAATATATATATATATATATATATATATATATATATATATATATATATATAGTCATGGAGTATATGGTCAAGTTTTTTGTTGTAATCCAATTTTTTAGGATAATGAAAATGTTGGTCTTGTCAGCTTTTTCTTTTTTTACAATTATATCAGGGTGGTTGCGTCGTTCTTGTATGGCAATTTTTATTAGTTTAGGAAGTATTTTTGAGGAGTTTCTGATTTTATAGAAATTGACACGCTATACCAAAACATTGTTAAACTCCAGGATGAACAACTAATAGAAACAACACCAGAATTTAAAGACTTACTTAAGGCCAAGACATTCAAGGATCGGCATGATAAAAGCAGAAACTCCACAAAAATACTTTTTAAACAACTAAAAATTGCAGAACAAGAACTATGCAACCACCGTGACATATCGTATCTATAAAATACAAATATATTTGGATATTTCCATCAGTCACTTTGAATGTCGTCAGTACAAGAGTGATAACTAGTTTTTCGTTTTTGTAATGCTATGACAATGGCAGAATTTTCAAAAGAAAAAAATTCAATCTCATAATAATATAGTAAGAATTTAACAAAAGTTGTCATTTATATATATGAAACTGGTAGCTTATATATATATATATATATATATATATATATATATATATATATATATATATATATATATATATATATATATATATATATATATATATATATATATATGCATGTTTCATTAAAAACTACAGACAAGGTACTAAGGTTAAGCTTTTTATTTAACTTTTCTTCTGTTCTAACAAGAGCTTTCTTTTCTGCACAAACGGTGTGTAAGAACTGTCCAAATGTTTTATATTTCCGAGCGTTTTGTCCAGAAAAGAAAGTTCTTGTTAAAATACAAGAAAAATGAAATAAAAAAGCTTAACCGTAGTACCTTGTCTGTCGTTTTTTAATGAAAAATGCATAAAAGAAGGATTGCTACCTACATATACAACTATATATATATATATATATATATATATATATATATATATATATATATATAAGCTATTAGTTTCATTTATATGCATCCTTAAGGCTTAAGCCTAAACTTCCGTAATGTAGAGTCGTTTCGCTTCCCTGTAGTCCTTCTGACAAATTCCCGTTTCGTAGGATTCAGTTCCATCCGATTTTCAAGATTGAGTATTATTATATTTCAAAGATCTGCATCCTATAGAGCATACCCCTTGAACATATCAAGCTAGAAAGCAAAGGCTTCTTGTTTAATTCGGGTTTCTTAGCTGAGTAGAGATTTTGTCGTTATAAATGTTTTGGAAACAGAAATAAACACTGTCTGCATAAGCAATAATCATTTGGTCTGATGGTTGCTTAAAGCATGAAACTGATACTTTATATATATATATATATATATATATATATATATATATATATATATATATATATATATATAAAGGGTGTTCCAATAACTGGGACCGATTTTAAATGTGAATTAAGTTTAAGCGTCTAATGAATTTTTCTTTTTCTTTCACACTTGGTGAGCATTTGGGCGATATTATTTTTCACACATAATTGCCATGACTTAAATGACATGATCCAACAGAGAAGTAAATAAATTTTCACCAATAACACTGATTTATTTACTGCTGACTTTGATCAACCTTATATATAATCCATCATAATGAAATATAAATATATATATATATATATATATATATATATATATATATATATGACAAAGTGGAAAAGATTTTCGTGTGACGCGTTTCGACCTTTAGGGCGTCATCAGACTAAGTTTATGTTTACATTGGTGCAACTAAACATGAGCACAAATGAGCGACGCCGGGAATTTAAAGATGACATTTTTATATATGTCTTTTGGGAAATGAGTCACACGAAAACTTTTTCCATTTATCATTCATCTTACCCTAAAATCATTCTTGATATATAAAAATTTATATATCTTTATCCCATATAGAGGGTGTTCCAATAACTTGGACCGATTTTAAATGTGATTTAAGTTTAAGGGTCTAATAAGTTTTTCCTTTTTCTTTCGGATTCAACAACGTATGTCTTTGGCAATTTCAACCATGGAAAGATTAACAATTAAACAACGTGTTAAAGTTACCGAAGCCTATTACAAAAATGGCCGTTCAAACAGAAATGTAATGGGAATTTCCCAGGTCGCATCATCTCTCGAAACATCGAAGTCAATTGGGCACCACGATCGTGAACCTTTAGATTTCTTCCTTTGGGTGCCATCTCAAAAGTAAGGTCTATGCTAACAAGCCAACAACAATTCAACAGCTGAAGGATGAGATAATAAGGCATATTCGTGAGATCGAGAAGCAACTATGCAGAGACGTCATCAAAAATTTTGACCATCAAGTGGAGGTGTGCCGCCGAAGCCTTGGGGGACATTTGGGCGATATTATTTTTCATGCAAAATTTCCATGACTTAAATAAAATGAAAATAAATAAATAAATAAATTTTCACTAATAACACTGATTTATTTACTGCTGACTTTGATCCGTCTTAATGAAACACCCTTATATATATGTGTTCGTTCG